CCGAAACCGTTCATGGGGGATTGGTTGCGCCAGGATGCTACGGCTGCCAAGGCAGGCTGCTTCAATTGACTGGGTTGCTGTTAAGGAACTTAATTTAAGTTACTATATTGGGGAAACCATGTTAATTACTATATCTACCCATTATGGGAACCTAAATTAAGTTCCTAAAAAGCAACCCAGATGATGGCAAGATCATGTGAGAAGGGCGTTTGCCGAACAGCATCTCAACATTTGCCCATGTCATTTCCCATGTCCTTATCCATTTGACGTTCCGTTACTGGTAACTGAACACTAAGCCGTCAAAATAGTTCCTACCTGCGGGTTCCCTTTACATCCGGTCCAGAACCATGAACCACTCAACCCTGAACCCCATCAGGCCCCAATATACTGTACACCTTACTCTCTTTGAAAGCTCCCATATGGGTTCATATTGTAGGGCGTATATTGGGGCCATATGGGGGGAGCCCCCCTTTTAGGGGCATGACAGGGTATGACCTTAAGGGTAGAATTCCTGCCTGCTCTTGCAAGACTTCGCCTTCGTCAGCACTTGGGCTCTGGTGTCACATTGCGGGTTAGGGGTCCAGTTTTTGCGCCTCTGTAGAAGACGACATGCCAGTGCAGTTTGTCAAGACAACTGCACAATGTCACAGAGCGGCTTGAAATTTGAAGCGTTTGTGGCTTTTTTCAAGGAAGTCCTGGCAATTTGAAATGCATTTTCGGGTTTCCATAAGTAGGGGGCCCCAATATAACCCAAAATGGTATAATCCTTATTCTGGGTACTCACAAAAAGGGACTCACATGCAGCAAAAGGGCCATGGTTTCTCAGGGCCGCTGGCAACCCGCTTAAATAGTTGGGATTCAAGCTCCCTTTCCAGAGACCCAAGTGAACCATAGTCTAAACTCCTAATACCCCCTTTCACAACCCCTGTTCCAGGATTTAGTGTTTAAGCTGTAGGGTTTAGGGTCAAAACTCCTTAGCATGCTCCTTTATAACCCTTATACTACTCCCCTATGTAATCCCATATATATATATATGTGCCTCTTTAAGCAGTTCAAGTGTAGACTGTAGCTCAAGTCGATCATGTCCTGCTATGATGCTCCCCGAACCCCTCGCCGAAGCCGCTTACCTCAATTAATCGAGCATTATATCCAAAACGGTACTAAGAGCCTCAATATGACTTGAAACCTATTCCCTACTTAAGCGGCAGTGGGCTACCTGGGCCCAACAGCACTCAGTAGCACTGCACCGAGCAGCGCACGAAGCAGGACCGTGCCACTGCTGCGCAGGCCAGGAATGAGAGCGCCAGCACCGGCATCCCCTCAGTCTAAAGTCATGTGCATTTAGGGCTTGGGGTTTAGGGTTTAGGGGCAAGGGCTCAGGGACGGGGATGTTTGTGAGGGCTCAAAAAACAAGACTTGACTCATTTTGGAGTTGCAGCCCCTTTTTTCAGATACCCTAGCTGGGAACAAAAAACAAAATGACTTCCAGGAGTGTACTGCGTTTTCACTTATCATGTCGTAGTTGAGGGGATCCTGAGCAAGCTTTTTTGGAAGACCTTCGGGTACATATCTTGAGGTTTGCTGCGCTACGGAGAGCCTTCTTAGAGGTCAAAGGCAGAACTTGAGGCATGGACATCCACTGTTGCTACAGCCACACAGCGAGAGGTTAGCCATGGCTCAAAAATTCACTGAGACTTCACCTACCCACTGCAACAGTTGCCAAGCCAGCGTAACAAAATCACAGTTTAGGGTTTACCTGGGGTAGACTACAGGAACCCTTACAACATCGTATGCTCCGGAGGCTGTCTGTCCCCGCAATGCACTAGTCAAACACCCATTGGAATTGGATGTAACCATAAATAAGGGGACCCCAATGGAGACCCTATCATAATCTAACAATCATTCTAGGAAACCTAAAAAAGTACACCGATCTTTGTGAAACCCTAAACCTTGAACCTTCTATATCCCTACATAATCCCTATTTCTCCCCTGCAACCCCTTCAAAGGCGCCCCGAATTTCGTGGAACCCCTACACCCTAAACCCTAAA